CACACTGATCGATCAGTGGACGTAGAGTGATAGAAAAAAACACATACACTAATACGAAGAGTGTTCAATATATTATCTTGATGAGTTAATACCGAAGCTTTTCTAGATATCATATGCCTTTAATAAAAATTTAGTTCCAGAAAAAAACAATGACTAGCTTTCGCTATCGAATTGTTCACTGAAGGAGAGAGACGGATGAACGACTAAGGAAAAACAATTTCAAAGCTTATTGCTCCTTCTAAAAAAAACTGTATCTGCATTGTTTATAATCTATGAGTGTTGAATGTCTCATTAAAATCAACCGAAAAAATTTTTTCTTCACAGTTCTAACAACAAAAAGAAAGGGTTAAATATGAATAAATGCACTTTTACACACACACAAAAGTTTTACTAATAATATCGACGTATAAAACATCCACACGATTATTCATCGTTGCATCTATTGATTGTATAAAAGATATGGCACAAATGTATATTCTTGCAAATAAAAAAAAAAAAAAACCTACATTTAGCTTTTATTCATCGTATACTCATCATTTATAAATAAATGACTTTTTGATTGGACTAAATGCGTTCGACAAAATAATATATTCAACCTATCGCTATCGAGAGCGATTGCAAAGAAGAAAAAAAAACGAAAGAAAGCAAAAAAGAAAGAAAGCAACAACTCGTTATTGCCAATATATTGAAAGTCATTTATATAGGCTCCCAAACGACCATTATCTCAAGTTGATTGCACCATTACCGATACAAAGAATCTCATCAACTATTCAATTGACTAACTTTCAATCATCTCATCTGGTCTATCTAATTCCTTCTCAATTAACGTATTCTTTTTCTTATATGTGCTCCCATTAAATTCACAAAACGATGTTCGTCAAGACCGATTATCGCCGCTATTAACGTCGTTAAAGTCCCGCGTGTGTACTCAATTATCGGACAAATGGCTACCTTCTCTAGCACTTCTGCTGCTATTGCTGCTGCTTCTAATGTATTGTCAACACCGTCATCATTAGGCTATCATCATTTATTTTCAACATCAAATAGCAGCAATAATAATAATAATCATAATAATAATAGTAGTAACAGTACATCATCTGATGAAAATACAACACAAATAACAGCGATTAATAATGTTAATATTAATAATTCATTTGATACAAATACATCATATTTAAATAATACTGATTTTCCATTATGTTTATCATCAAATCAACAAACAAATCCATTTGATGTTGTTGTTTCATCATCAACATCACCTTCTTCACATTTTAATCATGATCCACTTGTACGACATTTTTTAAATTCTAGACAATATGATTCCAATCTTACAGGAAATTATTATACAAATATGTCAACAGGATCATTTGTTAATGCTTTTGATTATCCATATACAAATATTACACCAACAACAATAACAACAGGTCTTGCTTCGGATACAGTTGTATCAAATCATGGTTTTCCATCAACATTAACATCAAATAATTTACAACAACATCATCCTCATTCTCATTCATTTATGAATTCTTATATGTCATATACACATCCTCAACAACAAATATTAAAACCATCAGATACATTTTCACTTTCAATTGAACACCAACAACATCACCATCAACAACAACATCATCATCAAGGAAATCAACAACAAAATATTTATCCATGGATGAGACGTATTCATAATAGCTGTGGTAAGTTTTTGTGTTTTATCTTAATTTCAGACTGAAACAAGAAGAGATATGAAATTCTATTCGTTTCTTTCGTCTTCTGTTTCTTTTCTTTTTTTTTTTGTTTATATATTCTAACATCGACATTTTTACCATATACACACAATCTTTTTTATGGGCTATTTATGTCGTTCTCTTGCGCGTGAGAGGAGATTTATGGGCTCGTTCTGGTCGGGACGAATGAATAAATGAGTTTGTATATACATAGATATGACGTTTGCCTTGCAATCTGATTGGGACAAAAGATACGAGAAAAGGAAACACACGCATACAAGATGATGCCGACTCATTGTCAAAGACTCAACAGATGGTTCTAATGGTCATGTAATCGATGAGACTATATAGAACAATAGTAAAAAGAAGAAAAAAAGAAAAGGCATCAAACATGTCGGTGTATATACATATATATATATTCAGGAAGTCCTATGTTGAGAAAAAACTATGCAATGTCAAGTGCGTGCGAGATTAATGTCTTTTCTTTTTTGCTCGAATTTCATTTTGTGTGTTTTTATCTGATGATATGCAAACGAAAAGCAAAAAAAAAATAATGATCTATGAATTTTTATCATGCGATTTTAGATCCACATATTGGTGAAACGAAACGAACGCGTACATCATATTCAAGATATCAAACACTTGAATTAGAAAAAGAATTTCATTTTAATCGGTTTGAATAACATTTGATGAATAAAAAAAAAAAGAATTTATATTAATATTTTTTTCTTTTTTGAATATTTCAATGTAGATATTTATCACGAAGAAGACGAATTGAAATTGCACATAGTCTTGCATTGACTGAACGACAAATTAAAGTAAAAAAAGCAATTTAATCAGAAATTTTCTTTTAAAAAATATATTTTTTTTTAGATTTGGTTCCAAAATCGGTAAAAAAGAGATTCTTTTTTTTAAAGAAATTTTATTTCCATTTTTTTTTTGTTTTTTTCTAGTCGAATGAAATGGAAAAAAGATAATAAATTACAAAGTTTAAATGACATAAGTAAAAATGAAGATAAAGCTATATCACTGAATATAAAACGAGAAAAACAAGAAACATCATCATTATCAACAACAAATGTGAATCGTACGATTAATAATGAACATCGTCAATCATCATCATCATCATCAACTCCAAATAGTTTGAATTGAAAATTTATATTTTTCAACTTATATAAGATATTTCTGCCGAGTTTTTTGTTTGTTTTTTTTCTTTTCTTCTTTGTTCCATTTACTAACATATATAATTATTATCGTTGACAAAATTTAATGTACTCCGATATTTGTTTAATACAAATTCATGATTCTTTTTTTTTTTATACTCAAGAGAAAGAGATTGATTACTTTGCATAGCTAGAAGATAGCAGATTGAAAATTTCATATGAAAATTAATTGACAACTACCGGATTAATATTAAATAAGAATTTGTGGTTTACTCTCACATTACAAAAGACTTCGAGAAAGACAATCACAGACTATGCAACACAATCAGTATGGACTCAATCTTCATAGAAGCATTGTCTGTTCTTCTCCCGATACTGCAGACTATTTATAATCCAATCATGTAAAACTATGCATACATTACTTGGTTCACTAGATTAAAAAGAAAACAATTTACAAGAAATCTAGTAGATAATTTCTTTCATTTATTGTATCTTTGATCTCAGTTCATCTATAGTCATAAAATAGTGGCTTGATGATCAGCTGAATTGAATTTCTGAGTATGTAGTCTATAAAAACGACTTGTTATTATCTATATCTTCCATGTTGAAATTTAACATTAGTGCGAAAGTTTCTGCTGAAATCTAGATTATAGGTGATGAATAATAAACCAATGATTGCTGCCTGTTGGAAATATCCTTGAACAATCGTAGAGTCTCACTAATGTTTGAGGCCACCACGGCTGAGGTGACTATGTTGCTCGGCTGATATTCACTAAGTACTAAGTCCAAATTTCGGTATCACAAGTCATCGAATAATTCTGGACAAGTCACTAACGACTGTTTGTTTCAGATCTCACCCGTGATGCATGTTAACTATATTGTGATATATACCTGCTCTTGTAGTTAGTTATTATGTATGATTAGCTCAAGCAGTTCAATATAAGAACTCTGCGCCGGATCCGCCTTCATTCCAGAGCTACAGCTAGTCATAGTTGTAGAGAAGATATCAAGCTACTGAATCTGTCATTAGGTAGTACCTCATACCACAAGGTAGTCGAAATCACAGGAGTATTCTTCCTTCCACTACTGTTTTAGAATGGTGGGAGACAGCTCTGGGCTGTTGGTAGCCACTCAGTCTTGCTGTGCTTGGCTTAGCTACCTACTAGTAGGACATAAAATCCACCTGGCTAATGAACAAAGACGAAAACAGTGCATCAACATACTTAAAACAATGCTCTTCAGTGAGAGGAGTGTGAGGTAAGGTTTTCGATAACGTAGGAAGCAAAATAGCATTCGAACATAATGCATACACTTGTGAAAATGCTGAGTCACAATTGTCAGGTACTTAATGATGGGTATAATCGAAAATAAGTCTGCAGGACTTGGAGATTCTATTCGAACAAATAGCCCTAGCTCTGAAACTCTACGGTAACCAAACAAGAAGCCCACCAAGAGAATATTGTTTTTAGCAGATTTTTTGTCCTTTGGTCTTCCACCTAATACTGAAAAGTAGGGTATATTTAACAATAATAATAATATATAATAAGCTAATGATTTAGACTATTCATAGGTTTGAAATGAACCTTCATGCGTTAATCGACTAGATATAAAGAGACAAAACATTATTTTCTTCGAGCTTATTGATACAAAAACCTGATATCCAACATAAACGAAATATCCATAACATAAAACACAACTTTAAATGGTTAAATTTTACATACGGCATTGTATCTTTAAATTCATTGAAAACTTGATAGAAGTTTAAATTTACCTACTGCAATTCTCTCGCACTAAGAAGATCTATTTTCTTTTCAAAAACTTAAGTATTTCATTCATTTCAGTCCGTATCAAATAATGCATAGTGTGTTATTTCTATATGCATTTACAATACTTGATGCACATAAATATACATAAAAATAACTTTATAGAAAGAACAACTATAATTAAACAAAAAAAACAAAAAATAAAAATAATAACTTTGAAAATTCAAATACAATAGCGCAAGGAAAAACAAGATTAAGATTAAATATTGCTTTTCTTTTGATAAAAGAGATTCACTATTGACATAGTTGAGAAATAAAAATAAAAATTTGAAATATAAGAATATGGATTAATATTATCTCGGTGTATTTAACCAACGCTAAATAAAAAAAACAAAAAAGTCAAATTCTACAAAATATTCGAATCCAATATTATTTTACTTACAGTCTGACGATATTTTTCATGTTCAATGATTACTGATTTTTCATCATCAGTATAACGAAGCAGTGCACAAATGACTTTGACCATAGTCTAAAAAAAAAAGAAATTATTCTATTAATCTATTGATTATATTTAACATACCATTGGATCAGTTTCTGTCATATAAGCAAAAATAATTTGTTTTAAATAATCAATTTCAGTTGGTTCAACTACTAATGAATGTAAAGTATCATTGGAATTCGTTAGAGATGAATGTAATTTTGAATCTAAATATTAAATAAGTATTCATAATCATATATTTTCTCTTTACCTTCAATATTTGTTTGAGCAGCATGATCAGTTGTTCTATGAGAAAAAAAAAATATATTTTTGATTCTGTAGTAGAGAAGTGCGTCGCGACTGCACTACTATGATAGTATTAGTTTTTCACCAGTCTCGATCAATTTGGTCTAGTCTCGGTAACTTCCTTTCTAGTTGTCTCGATCATGACCTCGGAAATTCTAACTTGGTTCCGGTCTGGCACTGATAGATCTTCAAAATTTGGTTTCAGTCTCGGCAAGCCTTCAAATCTTGGTCTCGCATATCTCCAGATATGTCTGCTTTATTTTTTTTTCAACTTACTGAATAGGAATGTTTTCTCTACTGTTGAAGCTTTCGATTTGTGTTTGAAGATCATTTATTTGATTTTCAAGTTCTTGTATAAGATGTTGATTTATTTGTTTGTTCTAGAAGATTATATTTTGTTATTCATTTAAAGAATAATTTTACAAAAAAAAAAACAAACTTTTAATTGTTCTTCAGCGACTGATGCTCGTTGTTCAGCTTCGATAATTCTGTGTTTCATATTATTTTCATTTTGATAGCTTCTGTCTAAATTAAAAATACAATTTGATTATTAAAATAGAAAAAAAGTTTTTTTTTTTTTTGAAATTTTACCAATTAATTCTTGATGTTGTTGATTGAATTGTTTTTCTTTTTCTTCCATTTGTGAATTCATTTCTTTAGTAAGAGATTTTAATTTTGTACTATATTCTGCTTCTTGTTCGTTTAACTTCTGTTCATATTCTTCAGTAACCATACGTAAACGAATTTCTAACGAAAAGAATTATTTTTCTTTTTTGGAAAACAAATATTAATGATTTGAAATTTACCTAATTCTTGATTATGTGTTTGTTCATTATTAGTTATAGTTTCTTTCATTTTATGTAATGCTTTACGTAATTTTATTCCACTTTCTTGAGTTTGTTTAAGAGTTAATTGAAGTTCTTGAAATTTTTCATCACATTCTTTTAATTGTCGATCTTTTTCAATATTTTCTTGTTCATAAGTTAATTTTTGAGAATCTAATTCAGCTATACGACGAATATTTTCTTCATTAGTATTTCTTAATGAAACAATTTGATTATGTAATGTTTCAATTTCTGATCGCACCGAATCATATTCAGTCTAAATCAAATAATTAATTTCAATTATATATTTAGAGTTAATTACAATTAGACTTTTTCAATTCAAAAAGTATTTTATCCTAGTATATGTGTGAAAAAGATTGATACAACTAAACATGATTTTACATAGTTAATCAGAAGAAGATTTGTAAGTATTTTAGAAAGTAAAATCATATACCATCTCGTCTTGTGGACGTATGACGATTAGAGTCCGCCAAGTTCGAAACTTTTTGATCCAGACCATACTAGATCAAACTTTCGGATTCGGACACAGACTCGACCGACTCTAATTCCGCTTAATTATGATTAAATTATTTTTTGGTGAGAAATGCCCTTGAACGACTAATTACAGTTTCAATCAAGGGAGTAAGTGTAGTACCTGAGTACCATATTTTACTGTAAGGTGCTGAAAAGATACTAAAGTGCCTGAAAGGTACTGAAGTGCTAAGACTTCCAAACCTGCATTTTCCCTCTTGATCTCATTTGTTTGTAGACATTTTTAAGAATCATTTTGTAGTTGTTGTAAATTTTGGTTCAGTTAAAACTGAATATTAGTCATGATCTAATGGAAACGAGAAAGTATTTTAATTTTATTCTGGAAGTAAATCATTAATGAATATATTTTATTGTGGCTGTTTCGATTGAACAAATAATATGTTATGGCAAAAATCTTTTTTTTTTATAGCAATGGCGAATCTAGAGTTTTGGGAAAGGTGGGTAATCATAATCACAAAACGTTTTTTTAAAGTTCGTATGGACTCATTTTTGAGAATTTTCTACTATAAGAAAAATTGAAAAATATTTCAGAAGGAAAGCATGATTGTCCCAAACGTTTCCTGCTTGAAAGCTACTTTTTTTCGTATAGAAATTTATTAAAAATTTCATATTCGAGAAACTATTCATTTTGTCTGATAATGAAATAATTTCTATGTATTGAAATCCATATCTGAGCGTATATTCGAAACTCTCGTTACAATAGAAGCTTCTAAAACATTCAAGTATTCAGAAGTTTTATGGAGACTTCTGTTATGGGACGAGCTACTAATACAACTTGGTTGTAAGTGCTATCGAAGAGAAGACTCACACATTCACATAGAGTTCGCCTTCATGAGCCTTTGTCGTTAAGTTATAATCGTTTTAGTGAGTAGATACCAAAAAATCAATTAGCAGAATTTCGATTTAAAATTTTGCCTATACATAGATCTAATGACTTTTAAGTTATCTTGGAAGTTCCAGTCGAAGAGAATGTTCTTTCGTCAAAATATTGAATTTTCAGAAATAGCCATTTGTCACAAAAATTGAGTTCACTTGAAAATTCAATAACTCGATTGAAAGAATATTCTGTTCGACTGAAGTTTTCAGGATATTCTAAGAGTCATTAGTCCTATTTATATGCAAAATTTTGGATCAAACCTTCGTCATCCGATCTGTTTGGGAGTACCTAAAAAGGTGTCAAAAATCCAGTAAACTGACCATAAGTCAGCGCCAAAGTCCCATTTGAACGAGTTCTTTTATGCTGTTGCTAATCTCACAGAAACCTGTCTGTGGTTCCGATATGAGTTTAAACAGTAGGTGTCACTCGGGATAGTGCTCTCGTCAGACGTCGATAAGAAATGAAAATAATTTCTAGATATTATTCTTAATCATGAGTATTTGATGTTGAGAGAAACATTTCTTATATACAGATGACCCCTGACCAAGACTAATTTAATTGCAGCTGCAAAGTTTTGCTCGAAAACTTGGAATTGTCTGGTTACAATAGAAGTTCTAGAGCTTCTATTCCGTCTTTTATATCGATCGTTCTAGAAGGATCTTCTATTTCAGAATTGATGGAATTTTGCAAAACTGACCTGAAGTTCTTTAATTCTTTTTTCAGCTTGCTCAAGTTTATTTATATTTTGTTTTCTCTTATTCATATTTGTTTCTGTTGTTTGCATTTGTAATCTAATTGTATCTAATTGATTTTCTAATCCAGCTTTTTCTGATAAAATATTATTAAATTTTTCTTCTAATGTTGTATGTACTTCCGTTAATTGTTTTTGTTCAAATAAAAGTTTTTCTTTTTGATTATTATTTTCTGTCAACGAAATTTTTTCTTGTGAAAGTTGTTCAATTTCATCCATTTTTGATTGTAATATTTGTTGAATTTTATTAAGATTTGTTTGTAATGAAAGAATTTCATTTGTTTTAGTTTTTAATTCATCATGTAAATCATTTAATTCACGATGAAGTTTATCATTAAGAATTTCTTGTTGATGAAAATCTTGTTGACATTGAAATATCTGTTCATCTTTTTCAATTAATGATTTATTAAATTTTATTTCAAGTTGTTCATATTGTTTAGTTTTATCAATAAATTGACATTGAATATTTTCATATTGAATATCAATTGAATGTTTATCTTTTTGTAATTGTTCATAGGATTGATTTAATTGATTTAATTGATTTTCATATTTATTTTTATTTATTATTAATTCTTGTTTAGTTTTATTTAATTCATCTTTAATATCATCATATTGTTGTTCTAATTGCTGTAATTCATTATGAGTATTTATTTGTTCTGATTTTTGTTTAATTAAATCATTATTTAAACGTTTAGATTCAGCTATTAATAATTGATATTGTTCCATTTTATGTACAAATTGTTCAAGAAGTTCATCATCATTAGTTGTATCAACATTGAGTATATTTTTTAAACGTATTATTATTTGTGATTGTTGTTTTTGTTCATCAAGTAAATGATCAAGTTGAATATTTTGTTGTAAAATTTTTTTTTCATATTCATGAAGTTCTTTTCTTAAATGTTCATTTGTATCTTGATGAGAATCAATTTCAGAACGTTGAAATAATAATTGTTGATGAAGATTATCAATTTCTTCACTTTTTTCATTAATCATTGACAGATATTCAGATTTTAAATTCTCAATTATTTGTTGATGTTCTATAGTTAATCGTTCGACATATGATTGTTGTGTATGTTTTAAAGAATTGGAATTTGATTGTTCATCGGAAAGATTTTGTTTGAGTATTTCGATCTGTACAAGTAGAAAAAGAAAAAAGAAATTTGATTAATAAATTATATTAGTATGTATGGAACATAAGTGCTATTATGATCAAGTATATTAAACGAAAGATGAGAAAAAATGAATGGCTAAATTCAATGATTTTTCTGGATTCATGCTATTATGCATAACGACTCTTCAGAAAAAACAAAAGAATAGATGATTAGATAAGTCGAAATTGAGTTTCACATAGAGCAAGTAAATCCTTGAATACATAATAAATTTTCTAACTGATAGTGACTTTGAAGAAGAGCACCCCGAATAGAACTATATACATTCCTAATAAATTCTTTCTATTGAACTCTACAGGAAAAATGTCATTTCGGAATTTGTCAGTTCACATTTGTCTTTAACTAATTGCAATTAATATTCAATTATTACTTTAATTGTTCTATCAAAAAATAGTCGGTGCGTGTGTAAAGGAAACCTGCCAGTCCATTCGGGTCACCATGGTTGAGTGACTATGTTGTTCGACATGTATCTATAAGGTACTATGTGCAAATCTCAGTACCACTAGCTATGGAATGTCCCTAAACGCATTACTAACGACTATTTGTCTCGGATCATCCGTCTGATAGCATGTTGGTTACGTGGTGACATACGCTTACTCTTGTAGTTAGTAAAGCTCTAGCGATTGAGCGCAAGAATTATGCATTAGGCTGATTCTCTGTCCAGAGCTGCAGCTAGTCATAGCTGTAGGGAAGATATCAGGCTATTGATTCTGTCGAGAAGTAGCATCTCATACCGCAAGGTAGCTGAAAGGCAGGAGTATTCTTCCTTAGCTCACATGCACACTTTAATGCTTGAACTTCACCTTAAACAGTATGCAGATGGTAATCTTACTGGTATGCAACTTGCTATCAACTGTGAAGAATGTGTGAAATAAGACATATTATTAAGTAATCATTTTTTTCACATTTCTAACACTGATTCTGAAAATTCTTTTCACTGGCAAATATACTTCTTTTTTGTGCTACTTGTTATTGAAGATATCTCTCTGATGGTTTTTTTTTCTTGTAACCGAACACTGAAAAAAAAGTGTTCATGATCATTTCGACTCCTATGTAGGACTCTAAGGATAACCACATTGGAGAACTTTAATCTGTTCCAGAAAGGAAACATGCGTATTTTTATTTAAGCTATCTTTCTCTTAAAAAAGAAATGACTTCTTTTGAAAAACATTCACACCTCTTTGTTTGTCTGTTCTAATAATTGTCGATCAATAATTTGTGATTCTTCGAGTGCTTCAATAGTTTGTTTTAATTGTTTACATTGATCCGTCATTGTTGTATTTGTTGCTTTTAGTTCATCAATATTAATTGTAAGTTGAATGATTTCATTTTGTTTTTCTTCAAGTTGTTTTCTAACTAATTCTTGTTCTTCGATAGTTGTTAAATTCTTTACTTTTATTTCATCAATAAAAGCTGTAAGATGAAGAATTTCATTTTGTTTTTCTTTAAGTTGTAAATTAATTTGTTCATGTTCGTCAGTGATTTTTGAATTTCTTATATTCATATTATCAATCATTTGTTTAAGTTCAAATATTTCATTTTGACTTTCTTTAAGTTGCAATTGAATTTGTTCATATTCGTTAATCATTGTTGAATTTTTAATTTTTATTTCATCATTTGATACATTTAACTGATTCAATTCATTTTGTTTATCTTCAAGTAGTTTTTCATATTGTTCACATTTTTTACTTAACGTTAGATTAGTTTCTTTTAGTTGATTTATAGCTGTAGTAAGTTCACTAATTGTATTGTGTTTATCTTCAAGTTTACTTTCAAATTGTTTATTGATTTCGACATTGGTTGCTTTCGTTTCATCAATAAGAGTCGTAAGATGAACAACTTCATTTTGTTTATTGTCACATTGTTTTTTAATCTGTTCAAGATCTTCAGTCATTTCCGAATTCTTCTCTTTCATTTCATCAATAATGATGGTAAGACGATCGATTTGATTTTGTTTTTCTTCAAGTTGTTTTTCATATTGTTCACATTTATTATTCAATATTAGATTAGTTTCCTGTTGCTGATTTATAGCAGTAGTAAGTTGAGTAATTTCATGTTGTTTATCTTCTAGTTGATTTTTAATCAGCTGTTGTTCTTCAATGGTTGTTGTGTTTAGTTCATTAATTGTCGCATTGAGTTTAATAATTTCATGACGTTTATCTTCAAGTTCATTTTCTATTTGTTTATGGAATTCATCATTGGTAGATTTCATTTGATTGATAAGAGTCGTAAGATGAAGAACTTCATTTTGTTTATCGTCAAATTGTTTTTTAATCTGCTCAAGATCTTCAGTTATTTCCGAATTCTTCTCTCTCATTTCATCAATAATGCTAGTAAGACGATCAATTTCATTTTGTTTTTCTTCAAGTTGTTTTTCATATTGTTCACATTTGTTATTTAATGTTAGATTAGTTTCTTTTAGTTGATTTACAGTTATAGTAAGTTGAATAATTTTATTTTGTTTATCTTCAAGATCGTTTTCAATTTGTTGATTGATTTCGACATTGTTTGCATTCATTTGATCGATAAGATTCGTAAGTTGAAGAACTTCATTTTGTTTATCTTCAAGTTGTTTTTTAATTTGTTCAAGGTCTTCAGTTATTCTTGAATATTTCTCTTTCATTTCTTCATTAATAGTAGTAAGATGATGAACTTCATTTTGTTTATCTTCAAGTTGTTTTTTAATTTGTTCATATTGTTCTGTATTTAATTCATAATTAGTCTTGATTTTATTAATGATATTAGTAAGACGATTAATTTCATTTTCTTTTTCGGTAAATCGAATTTGAATTTGTTCATATTCTTCGTTGGTTGTTGTATTACTTTGTTGTAATTCGTTAGTTTTAGATTGAAGATTATTGATTTCATTTTGTTTTTCATCGAGTTCGTTTTCGATTTGTTTGTATTTATTATTGAGCTCGACATTGTTTGCTTTTATTTCATCGATAAGAGTCGTAAGATGAACAACTTCATTTTGTTTATCTTGAAGTTGTTTTTTAATCTGTTCAAGGTCTTCAGTCATTTCCGAATTCTTCTCTTCCATTTCATCAGTAATGCTAGTAAGACGATCAATTTCATTTTGTTTTTCTTCAAGTTGTTTTTCATATTGTTCACATTTATTGTTTAACGTTAGATTAGCTTCTTGTAATTGATTTAGAGTTGTAATAAGTTGACTAACTTCATTTTGTTTACCTTCAAATTTACTTTCGAATTGTTTATTGATTTCGACATTAGTTGATTTTGTTTCATCAATAAGAGTTATAAGTTGAAGAACTTCATTTTGTTTATCATCAAGTTGTCTTTTAATTTGTTCAAGGTCTTCAGTTATTTTTGAATATTTCTCTTTCATTTCTTCATTAATAGTAGTAAGTTGATCAATTTGATTTTGTTTATCTTCAAGTTGATTTTTAGTCACTTGTTGTTCTTCAGTGGTTGTTGTATTTATTTCATTAATTGTCGTATTGAGTTTAATAATTTCATGACGTTTATCTTCAAGTTCATTTTCTATTTGTTTATTAAATTCAGCATTTGTAGCTTTTATTTCATCGATAAGACTTGTAAGGCGAAGAAGTTCATTTTGTTTATCTTCAAGTAGTTTTTCAAATTCTACACATTTATTATTTAATGTTTGATTAGTTTCTTGTAGGTGATTTAGAGTTGTAGTAAGTTGACTAACTTCATTTTGTTTATCTTCAAATTTACTTTCAAATTGTTTATTGATTTCGACATTGGTTGATTTTGTTTCATCAATAAGAGTCGTAAGATGAAGAACTTCATTTTGTTTATCTTCAAGTTGTTTTTTAATTTGTTCAAGGTCTTCAGTTATTTTTGAATATTTCTCTTTCATTTCTTCGTTAATAGTAGTAAGATGATCAATTTGATTTTGTTTATCTTCAAGTTCATTTTTAGTTACTTGTTGTTCTTCAGTGATTGTTGTATTTATTTCATTAATTGTCGCATTGAGTTTAATAATTTCATTTTGTTTATCTTCAAGTTCATTTTCTATTTGTTTATTAAATTCAGCATTTGTAGCTTTTATTTCATCGATACGACTTGTAAGGTGAAGAAGTTCATTTTGTTTATCTTCAAGTAGTTTTTCAAATTCTACACATTTATTATTTAATGTTTGATTAGTTTCTTGTAGGTGATTTAGAGTTGCAGTAAGTTGACTAACTTCATTTTGTTTATCTTCAAGTCGATTTTGAATGAGTTGTTGTTCTCCAATGGTTGTTGTGTTTAGCTCATTAATTGTCGTACTGAGTTTCACAATTTCATGATGTTTATCTTCAAGTTCGTTTTCGATTTGTTTTTTGAGCTCTACATTGATTACCTTCATTTCATCGATTACAGTCGTAAGATGAAGAACTTCATTTTGTTTATCTTCAAATTGTTTTTTAATGTGTTCATTTTCTTCGGTGATGGTTGAGTTTATTACTTTGATGTCATTAATAGTAGAATTAAGTTGTAAAATTTCGTTCTGTTTTTCTTCAAGTTGTTGTATATTATCTTGTAATTGTTTTTTTGTAATATTAAATTCTTCTTGTAACTTAGTTAATTCACTTTGTGATAATTTAAGATTTTCGAAATCATTTTCAAGTTGTTCAATATGAATAGTTTTTTGTTTAGATTCGTTTTCATATTGATTTAATTGTAGTTTTAGTTGATTAATTTCTATTTGTTGTTGTTCAATTTGTGAGTTTAGTATTTCAATTGATTTTTGATATTGATCTTGTAACGACTGAATTGATGAATCTTTTAACTTTTCAATTTCTTCAATTTGAGATTTAAGATGATGATTTTCTTCTTGTAGTTGTTGGATATTGATATTAAATTCATGTTGCTTTTCATTGATAAGTTTTGTAGTTTGTTCTAAATGTTCTTGTTGTTGATTTTCAAGTGTTTGTCTTAATTGAGTACAATTAGTAAAAGATTCATCATAATCTTGTTGTAATTTTGTGAGAGAAGTTTTAAGTTGATTAACTTCATCATCTAGAAGAAAGACAAAAGTAAAATTTTGATATTATCAATAAGAAATAGGAAATAACTGATGTCTCAACTTAATAAAATTTAAACATTGGATTACTGTGTTCGATAAAGAATAACGAGTGTTGCATCTAGTACGTCGGTCAAGGAAAGCAGAGCCCTTCCAAAGATTGAATTGATCTTCCTGGAGTTTGTGATTATGCTACTACATACTATATGACTCTCGTTCGAAAAATCGCCATTCAACCTTTCGAAATTTTCGTTGCTCCGAATGAAAAAATCTGACTGAAATCCTGATTTGAGATTGTATACTTCGCATGCTCTTACGAAATGTTGGTTGTAATAGACTTTTTTTAAAAGAAATACTTTGATTGAAGACATTAGAAATAAATGAATTTTTATTTAAAAGTTTCCTACACAAGTTGCTCGATTACATCTTGACTCTTGAGGACGAACTGTAACTAGAAAAACTAGTTATATTATAATAAATGATAATTGCAGAACTATAGAGTCGTTTTCTAATTGATTAAATGATCCATCACTTTGTAAGTCTCATTTCGTTAAATTAATCTAATGTATTCATTTTCAATAGCTTCTCTTCGAGTTACTAACCAACTTTAGATTATTGAAAGAAATATTCTTATCTGAATTTTGTTTTGTGATTTCTATTATTATTCAACAAATCATCATAGGAAACTTTTTCTGTAAAATATATTTAGTTTTTTTTTTTTGACTAGAAGAAAGCTTTCGTTCTTATTAAAACTTCTAGTGTATTCTAAATTCAAAAAACTATAAAGATACATTTAGACATTCTATTTGTTATAAATATTTATAAAATTTCATCTAACCTATCGATTGTTGTTTTGTTTGTTGTAATTCATTAATTCGATTTTCATATTCATTTTTAAGATTATCAATAGTGGTGAAATATTGTTTATTTTGTTGTTTTTCATTATTAATTTCTTGAGAAATATTTTGATGATCATAAATTAATTGTTGAACTCTTTCGAATAAATCTATTGATTCATTCGATGGAAGAATATTTTCAATATTTTTTATCATTGCTCGTAAATTATTTAAATCTTCAGTTAAATAAGAAATATTCATTTGTTGATTTGATAAAATAAGATTTAGATCTGTATATTGATTTATATCTTGTTGAAGTGATTGAATTTGTTTTTGAAATTCTTCATTTGTTGTTTCAAGTTTTGTTTTATCATTAATTAATTGTTCGATATAATCTAATTTTTCATTAAATTTAATTAATAAATTTTCATATTTTTCTTTAATATCTTCATCAATTTTAATTTGTTGTTTTGTTAAATCACGTTCATTTTCAAGTTGTCGAATATGAAGATTTGATAATTCTAATTGTTCTTGTAAACGTTGTTTATCTTGTAATAAAAGACTTATATCCGAATCAAAATGTTCTTGAACTTCCACTGATGATGTTGATATTTCGTCTGAATGACGATCCTAAAATGAAAAATTTTTATTTCAATTTTAAATAATATTAATATCATGTATTATTTAACTCTACATAAGTAAAAAATATAATGAAAAAAAATAAACTATATAGCTAACTATAATACTCCCATAGTAATATAATACACAAATACAAGACATACAATATAAAATAACATGCAAGATGCATAATAAGTCAAATATCTCACGAGCTAATATGTCTATTTTATTATTTAACCGACTCACCATAATATTTCTTACAAAATGCTTCAAACTGAAATGATCTTCTCCTTTTGAAGTTGCCTATAAATATATATATCGAGAGTATATCTCCCTAGTTATATATATATATACAGTAAAACCTCTCTATTCTGAACACCACTGGGACTTTCTGAAATCGTTCATAATTACGGGGTGATCATAAAGGAGAGGATTTTGCAAAAAAACGTTTTTTTAATTTATATCACATGTTTTCATCTTTTCCTATTGTTCAACAGATTTTATTCATTAGATTTGTACATTCCATATATAATATGAGAAAAAATTTTCCACTATCAAAATTTTAAGTACGTGGATCAGGTGCATAAAATATTCAGATATGGAATACTATTTGATCTCTGCAAGGTGTATGTCACGTCTTATAGACGTGTGTAATGATATCTTGATCAAATTCATTTTTGAATTTTCTTTTAATCTTTTATTTCTGAGCGATTCGTATTCATCTGTGTTTTCTAATTTTCTTTTTAACATATTTGAAACAGCTCCAATTGAAATATGAAATTTTTCACTTAATAGTCAATAAGAAAGCCCATTTTCTTTCTCTTTTATAAGGTTTATTTTTTCTTCTAAACAAAGTTCATGACGAATTGTCACATTTAATAATTTAACATTAACATATAAACATACAAGACGTAACTCAGTTACGCATAGACGAGATTGAAAATTATTTTTTTTTTGTCTATTTCTCTCTCTAAGCCAATTACAAAACTAGCCAATGAAATACATTGTGTTAATTCAAAGTTTAATGATGTCCTCTATAACGTTCACATTACAGAGGAAAATTATACAGTCGGAACCGTAAAAAAGTGTTCACATTCAGAATCGTGAGGATTTCATTAAGGAGGGGGCCAAAACCAGCAAAAATCGCTCGGGGGGACCGGAGAGCGTTCAGTATTACAGGTTGATCATTAAGGAGGGGTGTTCACTAATAGATGTTTTACTGTATATGTGTATGTGTGTGTGTAGTCTTATCTTTTTTTTTAGATAAATGATAAAAGATAAAAAAATTTTTCAAAATTTACTTTCATCATGGATTCAATAACGGTTTGTTTTTCATTTAATTTTTGAAGAAGATCATCACGTTCTTTCGTTAATTCAGTTTGTTTGTCTTGATGAGTTTTTATAGCATGTTTACATTGATTAAATAATGCTTCAAATTTGTAATTCTAAAATAAAATTGTAAAGTTATTATAGAAGTTGAACTGAACTAAGAGCATTTTATTCTTGAAATAAACAAACGAAAAATAAAATATAGAAATTAGTTCTAGATATTTTTGAAACTTTCATAGTTTATTAGTTTATTGCGACAGTTCCAGATCTTTTGATTTATTTCTATCATGAAATAAGAATATAAAATTTGCTAGTTTATATGAGTGATGCAAAAGACACACTATTACTACTGTTATATCTTAAGATAGGAATAGTGACAAGATCTGAAACTTGCACGATAAACTATTCTCGTTAAGATCTGTTTCTATGCATGACATTCATTTAAAAAATATCGTAAAAGTGCAATACCATCGTAGTAATAAGCTGAGGGTACGAATTCTTTTCAAAATATTCATAGCTCATTTAGATCTGTATAATGCATATAGTCTGGACTCAAAAATGATTTATCAGTTGAAGAGTAGATGTATTATGCACTTTTAAACAGTGAATAAGTAGTAGCGTAATTAGACAGGAGCTCAATACACTTACAGAAGGCTTTGAGAGATCTTCACCCTCTTTGCAAATATGATCAGGAGCTGAGTCGCTCGCCTCCTATAACCTTTTTCTTATCCCATGATGTAAAAAATACCAGAAAAATGACTCGTTATTAAGTCATCAGATCATTACTAATAATTCTTTAAAACTCAAGAAAAAAATAAATAAAATAAAATTGAACCTTTTCACGAAGTTTTTGAATTTCTTCATGATCTGTTTCATGAGGTAATTGAATGAGATCTTGTTGTACGGTAAGCTAAAGAAAGAATTAAATTTGTTTTTCCTTAAATGACGAAAATCAATCATTTAACTTTTAATGTAAGTTCTTCAATTCTATTTTCTCGTTTTCGTATTTCTTTTTGATGTAAACATTCAAGTTGTTCTTTAGCTTGTCGATCAAGTTTAGTCTGTTCACGTAATTCTGAAAGTCGTTTCATTGATGTATCTTGATATTGTTGTAAAATATTCTAACAAACAAAAAAAACAAACAAAGAATATATGATTTGAAAGAATTCTTATTTATTTATTTTTTATATACTTTAATATGTTCTTTTTCTCGTTCAACTTCATCATAAGCATTTTTCAATTGATTAAATTTATTCTTATAAATAGCAAGTAATTTTTGCATTTTTATCATTTTCTAGAATAACTAATACTTTAAGAAGAAAAAGAATTTTTTAAAATATTTTAATAAACTCACAGCATTATTTTCATGATCACTCTCATCACCACCACCACCATATTCAGATTCAATATCCGATGGTGGCATATAAGTACGTTGTGGTGATACATAAGTCATGATAGAATTAGAACTTTGACTAACACTAAATTGACTGATATCACTTGAAGCTGAATCTAATCGAGAACGATTATTTTCCTTAAAAGAAAAATGAAATTATGAAATAGAAATTTCAAGATGAATAAACTTTTTTACAAGATTATCATCTCGACTAGTAATTGAAGATGTTCGAGTATCAGAATCTCTTGATATAGATACCTATTTTAAAATAAAAAGAATGATATAATTGTGAATATTTTTCCAAACATACTGAATCAGATGATGGAATGCTCGGTAATACATTTAAATTTGTTTTAGTAACTTGAGTTGCTAACTTTTCTTTTAAATTTTTAAACATGATGCGATGATTTGAAAAATAAATCGGATAGAAAACAATCTTAATAATAGATGTAGAGTGTGTATCTTTTTTTTCCTTTTACTATCCTTGTTGTTACTGTTGTTATTCATCAATTCATTGTTGGTTGTTTTAAAAACCAATCCGATTTTCCGAGATGATATTACCGTATCATACGAATCAATTTGACTTGATCTCATACATTTAAAAAGTGCGCAAAGTAAAGCAAGATAATATTGTTATATTTTATCTTTTTTTTCTCCCTCAACTCAAACTAATGAGATGTCGCCTACAGACTAGATTCTCTTAAAATATACGTAACTTTTCGAACACTTCCAAACAATATGTTAATTGTTTTGTAACATACTAGTTTAGTCAAAATGATTGCAACATCGGATATTTCATCAAACATCTCAGCACAGATAAATCATAAAGTCTTGAAATTTTCTTAAAAAAAAAAGATGCACCATTGAATTCTGTATAAACTTCTCATTGGCGTAATTTAAAACTATAGAACTGAATATTTTTATGGACCACATAGCATGTTTCTACCTAGTGTACTAAAGTTGCACACATTGTTTTTACTAATTTGTATTTTTTCCATATGAACCAAATCTTTAATTTTTAAAATAGAACTTATTGCTTGGTCACCTTTGAAAAACTCAATTGATTGTGTAGATATACGAAATTTTCTAATGCTGAATCGTTCGGGCTCTTTTTTGTCATTCAACTTTTGAAATTTTAATATCGATGATAAATAGATTAATTTTATGGTTTAAATCATAAGTAGTGCGAATCTAATGGATTTGCTGGATCTTTTTTGAAAAATAGAAAAGATGCCAGTAAATCTTTAGAAAAAAGTGGTCTATAAATTCAAGTATTTTGATCTTGTATGCATATAGTCAGACTCTTTAGAAATACTTTGTATAGATCCGAATTTTTCTGTCAAGTACTTGTTCAATTCGAAAAAAAAGCTCAGTTGAGAGCCAATCGTCGCACTGCCAATATCGTCCACAACATATCAGTTAAACAAATACGCAAACACTTAAAGGGAATTTTTCGGACTTTTCTTTGAAAATCTAAACCTCTGCAATGTTACACATCTACCTAGGAAAGATCGATCGGTATAGGCACGAAGCTTATTCATTTGAAATAGAAGTTTTGTCATGCAAATCAATGGAATTGATAAAAGTGGTTTTTCAGAGCAGTAAATAAGGTACGACAGAGGATGAGGATCCAAACTTTCCTTGCCATTTTTTCACAAAAAGTAATTCTGGATGAGCAATAGGCTCAGTCCAGCAATGTTCAGATTTTCTAAAAAGGGAATTTCAAAAATTTCGGAGATTTCAAGCATTTATGTTCTGAATTTTACGTTACTTCCTAAAATGATATAATTTCTGAAATTTCCAATATGTCTAAAAACTTTTGATTTGCACTGCTATATAGTTATCGAGCTGGTGGAAATTTCAGAAATGTGGGTAATTTCCTTTTTTGGAAATCTGAACATACCTCTATGTTTAATACTTATTCTTGATGTAAAGGTATTTTTATGTGTAAAGTTAAATCATTTGACATGATTAAATTCTCTTCTTTTATTTAATATGATATCAATAACATAAAATTAACAAAAAAACTAGTGACATTTCGTATTCTGATAAGATATTTTGTTAGACATGAACATAAAAGTAAATGACGTAACATACATAAACGTATAAGAAAAAACCAGAACAAAATAAGAACAAACAAAATTAAACTATTTTCAGTCAATTTTTGATAGTTATACGGAAAACAAGACGGCAACAGCGACTAGGTAACGATCTAATCCTTCTTCGCATCACTATCAAGAATTGATTGAAAATAGTCTAATTTGTTTGTTCTTATTTTGTTGTATTTTTCTTTTACATTTATGTATGTTACATAATTTACTTTTACATTTACGTCTGCGAAGTATCTTATCGGGATACGAAACGTCACTAGTTTTTTGATAATTTTATATTATTAATATTATATTAAATAAAAGAAGAGAATTTCATCATGTCAAATATCAATTTAATCTTCTTATTACAAGAAGAAAGTTAATTCTTAGCTCCCCATTGACAATCCGAATTACCATTTGTAGAATAATTGTAGAAAATAAAGGAAGCATGGGATTTGAAAACGATAAGAACATTTTTTTTATAGTGAACCTTATGAACTATCGATTGGTAAAAAGAATAATTTTCTTCATCGCTCCGTCTTTGAAGTATTGGACCTACAAAATCGATAATTTTGCAAAGAAAATGAAAAAAAATCGAATTTTTCGAAACAAATCGTTCCCTACGTACAGAAGATAAAAATCTTTCGAAATTCCTATGTGATATAAAGTGATAAAAGTGTCTACTAGTAAGTTAGATATATTTTGAATGCATCGCGATAAGTTGACCAATTACACATACTCACGCACATAATTGGCCAAGGAACCATTATGAGGTACCTTTAGAGCAATCAAGAAAAATGGTAATATATGTATTATAAATCTCAGATTATGAGAAGTTAGAACAACATGTATTATGAATTAAATATCTTCAGAAGTTATAAAACAGTTCAAAGCAAGTTAGATGCCTATTGAAGACGACATGCTATAAACACATGCGCTCTTTTGACATTAATTTTTATCGGTTTATTCTCTCCGTTTTCCAGTACTTCCATAAGATAGGATAGATGTTGCTTTTTGCTTATTCAATAATGTAATGAAAGAAAAAAAAATCAACGTTTAGTGTATTGTTTCATCCCTTTACTCCATCATATAGTTAATCGACCAATTAAATGACCCTACACAAAAAGGTAGACACTCGGTGGATCAGACCACATAATTGTCATACGAGACATGCTAGTACTCTATTCGTATAGTTATTTTATCGATAGTTCTTTTGAAACCACTGTGCGAGTAAAGGGTTAATAGTAAATGACAGATATTGAAAATATCTGCTTTTTTAGGAATAACTGAGAAAGAGAAACGAAAAAATCTTGAATTGATCAGCTGTTAATAAAACTTCATGACTGACTATAATAATGCTTCAATCATGACTGGAAAAAAAATTGAAAAATCAATGTTTGAATACTTCTTTTTCAATGATTGTAAATCATTCAAATAAACTATATCGCACAATGAAACAGTTTGATTGATGATAATTCACCTTTCTTTTTTATAGAGCAGTTTAAATCAATTTTTATACTAAATATTAGTATTTACAAAAGAATGTTAATTTTCAATATTGTGTGTATATTTTTATTTATTTAGAATGATATTTTAATATCTAAGAGTGAGAAGACAGTTTTCTTTATTTCCAATAGGCCACAAATAATATAGGAAGACGAATATAAAGTTTCATCAAGATATTTTAATCAGATATCTGAAGACAACTAGTGATAATGATCTATGTAGTACATATAATATAGACTAATAGACTCAACTTAGACTCATTTTACACTAGTATTTTCAATGGAAATCCAAAATAATAAAATATTTTCTTATACTTTGTTTTTGCAAGCAGTATTTGATGACAACTTCTGTATTGAAAGAAAGCCATAAATCTAAGTTTATATAACAAGTAATATCTTTAATTTAGTATTATATACGCCTTCTAAGACTTTGACACCTCAATATAAACTTCTTCAGTATATCTAAACAATTTATAAAAAAGCGTGTATATTAGAAGAAGCAGCTATTCTGTACATTTTGCTTGTGTTTGATATACTTGTTTATTAGAAACACTACTTCATACGACTCACGTTGTCCTTTTTATAATAAATATCAGACCATCTACATAAAAAGAAAATACTTTTGATTGGTTCAAATGTCATTTTCATTATTCGCGTGGTAAGTGGCGTTACTTATTGCTTGCTAAATGTGAACAAGCAAATCAACATTTATCTAAATGACTCAGTTATTCCGGCATTTGATCCATCGTCTTATTCTTTCTATTTCTCGTTAGTTAGTTCTTTCTTTCTGGAAAAGAACTCTCGTCATTTCTAGTTTGTTTATAATAAATACTCTTATTTATTGTAGAGGTCATATTAACATGTCTCGAAATTCTTATATTGAATTTAAAATCCATGCTTTAAAACGTCCGAAAATTAATCATAATTTATCATCTATTGTTCAATTTGATTCAACAACAATATCTGACGATGTTCCACAAGAATTTATTTCCACTTTTGATAATAGTGCCATAACATCTAGTAATGTTTCTACGTGTACACCTGAACGTTCTATTCCTGTTCAACCCAATACTCATCATGATATTTTTAAATTTAAAAAACATTCTCGTAAATCTGTTGTATCATCAGATCCTATTGTGAATATTTTAAATAATAATTTAAAACGAATTATTATTGAAGAATCTAAAGCAAATAATGAAAATGGAACTATTGATATACATACTATAAAACAAGATCTTAGTAATACATTAGAAAATGATGAAATTTCAATTGAAAAAGATGATATTAAAAATGCTGATTATAATGAAGTACCTATAGAAGAATTTGGTATGGCTGCTATACGTGGTATGGGTTATAATGAAAATATTGGTCTTGGTAAATCAAATAAAAAACAAATTAATATATTTAATCCAGAAATACGACCTCGTGGACTTGGATTAGGAGCAGATCGAGAAGTATTAGTAAAAATAAATAGATTAAAACGTAATTTAAAAGAAGCTGGTATTAATGAAAATGATGATTTATATTTTGAAAAAGGAGCTTTTGTTTTTATTGAAAAAGGTTCATATTCTAATTTATATGGTACGATCGTATCGATTAATGAAGATCTTAATCGTATTGATGTTAAATTAACTACGAATGATGATATAAATGAAATAATTTCTATTTCACAATATAATATTAAATTAGTAAATGAAAAAGAATTTCTTAAATATAGTAAATATGTAAAGTAATTTTTTAATTCAGATATTATTTATAACAAATATTAAAATAAATGAATTCCGATTGATATTAATTATTATTTTTTTTTTTTTTGTAAATATATGTTTTTTTTTCAGATGCTTCCTCAATTGAAAGATTTTAATTGGTATATTGATATGAAATTATTAGCAGGTGCTAATGGTCAACGTATCCAACAACCATCATGTGTTCTTTCTTTAGATGTTTGTAGACAAATTCTTTTTTTCTTAATTAACGAATGAATTGTTTTCTGGTTTTTTTTTAAATAGATAAATGATCCAACAAAATCAGATGGTGAAAATGAAAAATCTGTTCAAATTGAATTATCAAAAGAAACGCTTAACCTTGTCTTGGATAATTTTACACGAATTCGTGAACAACTTAATATATTAGCTAAACGAGAATAAAAGATTGTTTTTTTTTTATTGCAATAGAAATGTGATTTTTCTCTTATTTTTTCTTTTTATTAATTTGATTTGTCCTTGATGAAAAGATAAAGTTACTTTCCAATGATATTTCGTCTATCTCTAGAGAAAAAAGAACGTAACATGCATAAACATTCAAAAAATCGACGTCATGGCGATCCAGTACAAGTACCTGGCAGTTTAACGGATCAAATCAATCAAGATCGAAATGTTACGAATACAAAAACTCGACAAAAACAAAAACGAAAATATGATGATGATGAAGATGAACAAGTTTGTTTAGAGAAAATATTTTATTTAATAAATATTTATACATAAATTGTATTTTTAATTTAGATTATTGATGATCGTCTATCAAGAAAAATTATTCAACAAGCTCGAGAACAACAAAATGAATTTGATAATGATGAACTTTTAGCTATCAGTAAAGAAGAAACGTAAGAATATAAAATAAGATTAATCTGCACAGATGTTCCGAAGTCACCAAGTTTAAGCAGTCCTCCAACTGATAAATCGCTTTTGACTCGAGGCTATGTGTATTATGTAGACCCAAATGAACTATGAATATTTTGATAAGAGTTTGTATTCTTAGCTTATTGCTGTGGAGATACTGCACTTTGACAGGTATTTTTTACAATCAATGTCATTGTAACAGAAAACTAATTTTCGAATCTCTACTTGAAACATTGTATACAGACAGACTTAACAAGAATAGTTTATTGTAAATGTTTCAGATCTTGTCGCTATTCCTATCTTAAGATATTGATATAATAATACTTAGAATCTATCGGATCCAAAATATTTCGGAGCTGGACCTGGTTAACGGAGAATTTTCAGATTCGATCAACAGAAAAATTTCAGACCCATAGAAGCAAGTCAGAAGACTTTAAACTATTCTCTTTAAGGTTTTTCTCTATGCAAAGTTTCTAGTCGAAATTCAAAAATCGATTTTTCTGTTACCACGACATTCATTTAAAAAATACCATAAAAGTGCAGTATCTTCGCAGTAATGAGCTAAGAACACGAATTCTTTCTTTTAAGAATATTCATAAATTATTTGGATCTACGTAATGCGCTTAATATCGTTTCAAAAGCGATTTATTATTTCTAGGACTTTCCTTGTAAGAAGGTTGGGTTTACGACATTGGGAGAGGGTCATCTCATCCGTACTCAGAACACACATGCTAATCTACTATTAATATTGAACAAATATTTTTTTTGTAGAGATCTAGAATCAATAGAACGTATAAATAAAATTAAAAAAAATCGAACGGAAGATAGTGATGAAGATGATTTAAATGTTCAAGAAGATGATTATGATGATGAAGAAGTTTCAGTAAGAGAAATTCAATTAGAATTGTTTGTTTTTCGATATTATTTATTTCAAGATCGATGAAGAAGATGAGAAAGCACTTGAAGCTTTTATGAGTGGTCAACCACGACGTTTACTTGGTGATATTATTGCTGAAAAACAAGCACAAAATCAATCATCACGTAATTAACTGATAATCTAATAATAAAACATTTAATTTTGTTTTATATTTCTAGCTGATAATGATCTTGATCCACGTATTTCCAGTATGTATGAACAAGTCGGTCAAATTCTTGCTCATTATCGAAGTGGTAAAATACCAAAAGCATTTAAAATTCTACCAAATTTAGCTAATTGGGAACAAGTAAATGAAATTTTCTTTTTTTTTTTTTTTTAATGTAAAACATATAAAAATGATTCTTTTCAGGTGCTACTCATAACACAACCAGATCGATGGACTGCAGCATCTATGTATCAAGCAACACGAATATTTGCTTCAAATATGGATGCTAAAATGGCTCAAAGGTATATTTTCATATAAAAGATCTTCGATTTTTTTTTTTATTAATATAAATAGATTCTATAATATTATTTTACTTCCACGTATTCGCGATGATATTGATGAATACAAAAAACTTAATTTTCATCTTTATATGGTAAGCTTTTTCTTTATGATGTAAAAAAAAGAAAATAATAATTATATTTTATATAGGCATTAAGAAAAGCTTTATTTAAACCAAGTGCTTTCTTCAAAGGGATTATTCTACCATTATGTGAGGTAAAATGTTCTTTTTTCAATAACATGTGAAGAAACAAAAAGAGACTTCAGAGGAAATGTTAGATTCACATCGTACTTTACGAATAGATGCTGTAAATTCTATAAAAAAAAACTTATATTGCATTGGCACATAAGTTCTGAGCATTTGGATCAGTAGAATTATATCACCAATATAAAACTATATTTTAAGGCAACTAATTATACATTCTGATAGCGCTCTGAATTCTCTATCATCCTATGTATTTAAGTCTTGACTTGCATTTATTTGCTGAAAATATATTTTGAAAACAGTGAAGACACCCTCACCCTCAGATTCCTACGAACTCCATTTTTTTGTTCCTTTCTCATGTATTTAAAAGATTTTTATCTATACAATAACCCGTTTTTTTTAGAAAAGTAATTATATATTGTGAGAGCTCTTGAAATGCTCTATCGCCCTGTATATTCAGGTTTTGACTTGAACTTATTTGTTGAGAAATATTTCGAATATTGTCAATGCGAGTGAGAGTGTCTTCACTGTAGTCAAAATATTTGTTCAGCAAATAAATGCAAGTCAAGACTTAAATACATAGGGTGATAGAGAATTCTGAGCGCTATCTGAACATATAATTACTTGCCTTAAAATATAGTTTTATATTGACGATATAATTCTACTGATCCAAACGCTCAGAACTTATGTGCCAATGTAATAGTTTAACTTTTATTAATTCACTATAAGTAAATCAACTCTAGTTAGTTTGAGTTACAGATAATGGTTAGTTCTTCACATATGCATTGAAATTATGAAATATTTCAATCGAATCTGTCGATATAAAATCAACATTTTAATAATCTTACAAGGAAAGTCCTCCAACTGATTAATCTCATTTGAGCCGAAATTATGAGCATAATATGGACTCAAATGAGCATTGAATCATAGTTTACAGCTGCTTGAAATACTGCACTTAACGGTAGTTTTAAATGAATGTTGTGATTTCCCGTCGGACACACCAGGAAAAATGATTTTCGAACTGGGATTCGAAACTGTGCATAGAGATAGATCTTTGTGAGAACAGCTAATTATAAAAGTTTCAGATCTTTTCGTCATTGTTCCTATTCTGAAATAAGAACGTTGAATTTATGATGTATATGATCAACGTAAAGATCTAAAGCTTTTACAATAAAAACTATTCGCATCAAAGTCTGTCTCTGTGTAAAGGTTCGAATAGAAATCGAAAAAATCATTTTTTCTAATGTTCCTGAGGGAGACGACGGTTTTATATTAAAAAAATTATAAAAATGCAATATCTTGGCAGTAATAAGATAAGAGCTCGATCTGTTATCAAGATATTCATAGCTCATCAGGGCCTACATGATGCATACAACCTTAACTCAAAAGCATCAATCAATTGGAGAACTTCCCTTGTTAATTCATCGAACAAAATACTCAGCAGCTAATCATTCGTTTTTGTTCATTTCACTCAAAACGATTTATCATTTGTTTGAGTCAGCCGGTACTGTCACGTAGGAAGTCGAAATGATTTAATAATAAGATTGATAGGTTTACTAGTTGACATTATCTCTCTTGATAATATTAATATAAACAGAAATATGTTTGCCAGGTTTAAGAGAACGAACTAGGCCTTCTTTTTAGAATTTCTAATGAGATGAATACATGTGATAACGAATAATAGATAGCGGTATAATTATTTATTGACATACTTTACAAATTACTGTTTATCTTATCAATCAAAATATCCATTACAGTTATAATTGTAAATATATTAGAATACAGAGTTGTGAGCCAGTCCATCCAATTAGTTTATTAAATCATGATTAATCGATTAATTGAAATGGCTTCAAAAAATATTCATTTTCCTTTTTGCACTCGAATTTTCATACATCTGCAAGAAGAAATCTTATATTATAGTTGTCTGTATCTATCAGGTTTCTCAAAGATAAATATGCGATATTTATATAGCGTGAAAAAAAAGCTATTTATCCATTAGCTGATTGCTGATATTCAAATCTTAAATTTTCTTCCTCCACCTTTTTCGACAAATCTAACATTACAACGACCGAAATCTAAATTTGATCTTTATCAAAACTAAGTTTAACTCAAGTAACATAATTTTGATTGTGTTTTTTAAAAACCGAAATATATTTCAATTAAAGAAATAAAACTAATAGTTCTTAAAATAACATTGTTTGTGAGATAACATAGTTAGACATTGGACATTTCCAGTATTAGTAAAAAAATCATTATTTTAAGGATAGAGTCAATTCTACGTAAAATACCCAAAAAAACCGCCTAGTATGTCTAGATTTTGATTATTAAAAAGTGGTTTTTCATTGAAAAGCAGCATAATTTTCGGAATCAGCATGCAAAAGGACATTGAAAACTCTATCTTTCATTTGAAAAGACTTCTAGTCAATTTTTATTCCTGTAGGGGAGAACAGCCTAAAAATTTTGCGAATAAAAAGCTGAGGAAGGAGTAGAGTGGAAATTTTAATCAGAAATATTTTGTGATAAAGTGTAGAATTTTCGATGCATTTTTGCATGTTGATTCCGAAAATTATGTTTATTTCTAATAAAAACCAATTTCAATAATCAAAATCTAGAAATACTTGTCGTTTTTTTTTTGAGTATTTTACGTAAAAGTGACCTTGTAATAGCATATTTATAAAATATTTTTCAATTGGTAAAGACCGATTACAACTCTGCTAGAATCAACCTCATATGATCTACATATACACTTATTCAAAATACTCATATAAAAAATATTTATTTATGATTGTCCAGACATTGATGAATGATAATTTCCCAAATGGCTTAAAATGAAAAACCATTTTATTAGAAATTCTTATGTGGTTACATTACCATTATTTATTGAGAAAGAGAGAGATTGATAT